TCATGCGTTTATTCTGGGTGTAACATTATGATCATGTCTAACGGTGTGCCACTCACAAGTTAAGAATAAACATTATCATTATTGCCTGATTTTGCTCATTCACATTAAGGAAGTTATCCCCGCTGACGGTGCCACACAAGGCCTCGCTAAATAGGTTTACCCGGCCGAAGTCTGACCAATCAACACAAGGCTTCCCTCAGTCCTCAGCCAGCTCGTGACATGTGTCCAATCGACGTGATGTTTGACGATTGGGAGATGGTCGGCTCCTGACACGTCCCGCTCAATGATGCCCTTCATCCGACTGCTGCTATGACAAGTTTTAAGGCGACTCAGGGAGTTGTTGTCACATGTCGGCTCTTATCGTGCCGCCTAATTCGGAAGCATATACTTTTCTGCGGTGCACCCACTCACTCTCAATCATGATCTGGCCCGAGCCAGATCATTTCAGGCTGCTCTACAGCTATCGGTTGACCACATCAGATATGGATTCTATGCGTTCCTAAACTAGCGAGGCAGTTGCCAATAAGGAAAGACCAGTACAAATGTTCCATTTCAATCGCGGAAAAGCCGACACTTTCGAAACATCTGATGGACGAAAAGAACGAAGCGGCTCAGACGAACTTCGATAACGAAAATTCCTTGATGAACGAATACATGGTGCTCTTCATCCTGGTTCCTTTGGCTGCCAAAGGGACAATCCATTTCTCTGATGCGGCAATCAAGACCGCCATGCCAGAAAAAGAGCAGAGCTCCTGATAGCCTCAATGACCGACTGCTTTTCGGTTTTACTACTGATGAAAAGTTGGACAGGTGCTCCGTAGGTTGCTTGTCGACCCAAAAGCATTGCTTTGCATGCGACTTCGTCCGCTGCGACAGCTATTGCCATAGGTGCCACTGAAGATGTGAGCACACTCAGCCATGGCGTGGCTCCCATAAAACCGACTTATAGTTGACGCATCGGCTGACATCGGTAGGTTTTGAAGTCGATTCTTGACAGTTGGTGCATGTTCTAAGATACATAGCAGAGAACTGTCACGAAGAGACTGGACCCCACCGTGCTTTGCTCACCTTGGCGACCCATTCAGCTATACTGGGAGGTGTCCCCGCGACACTCAGAGTCTCTTATACCGGGTTTGTCAATGGTTGTAGGTCTCACAAACACAGTCTCCTGGTTCTCCAGTTTGGAGGTTGGAAGAGGCTAGAAAGCTAGTAAAACCCGAAGATCATTTCAGTTGCGCTCTGCTCGAAGATGAAGGTGAAGTCTTCAGTCAGCGCTGATCTGATCAGTTTGTATTTAAAAAAAGTCCGTCCGAGACAACTGGAGAGAGTCGTTGATAGTGCTCATTTTCATAAAGGGACTCAAGTTGAGTGGTAACCGCGGGGTGATCAGGTTGACACCGGTCGTCACGGGACTGTTGGCATCATTTCTGCTTCGTCGCCTTATGGTGACTCTCGAGGCAGTGATTCGAGAGCAGCAAGCGGGATTCCGACCTGGTAGGGGTTGACCAATCCCCTAGCCACTGTTCCGTGTCTCAACCATCACCCAGAAGAAGAAACCAAATTAATCATTTACAAACCTCAAAAGATCTGATCCACGTTGCAGTCTTTAATGTCCGCACTCTATGTCAACTGGGCAACAGTCATCCCTTGCTGAAACCTTTCTTTCTCTATCGATGTATGTTATATCTTCGAAACACGCATACAAGACCCCACTTCGGTCGTGCTTCTCAGGCCGCTTCGGGCATCCGGTGATTCTGACGCAATGGCTGGTGATATCTACGGTGTGGGAGTTGCACTCAGCCCCAAGACTGAAAGCGCCTTACTGGAGTGGATCCCAGTAAACAGTCGCCTTTGTTCTGTGCGGTTATCTGGCTCAATTAAGGTTAACGCAGATCGATGTGATAAATGGTGTTTATTCGTCATGTCAACATACGCTCCAACAGATAGCAGTTTTGAGGCTGAGAAGGACTAGTTTTATCAAGATCTGTCACGGCTACTTCGGTCGTCAACAACGACAGATATGGTAACCCTGGCCGGTGATAAGAATGCTAAAGTTGGACGACTAAGTCCGGAAGAAGCACAGTTAGGTGGCCGATTTGACGTCGATGCTGAGCGTACGGATAATGGAGAGCGGCTTCTTCAGTTGTGTGCAGATCATCTTCTGTTCCTGGCCAGTACGAACTTCCAACACAAGCGCACACACCGAGTTACTTGGAGACCACCTACCACAATACAGTCGTGGACCCAGTTGGACCATATGGCTATCAGTTACCGATAAAGAGCCTCAGTTAGGGATTGCCGGTCCTTCTGCGGTACGCAACCGGACTCTGATCACACCATCATGTGGGCCCGCTCAGCACTTCGTTTTCCGCCAGCACTACGCGTGCCAAAAAAAGAGCAGCTCCGTTCAACTCCGACAAGTTTCAGTAGCTGAAAAGTATCGAGCTGTTCTGGCTAGAAAGCTACGAGAAGATACGAGGTTTGTAAAATCTATCAAGGAGCAGTGAGAAGTATGGTCGGTCATGCCATGGGAACCGGAAATACTGCATTGCTTCACCCTACTCTTCAGCTACATCATCTTCCATCGCTATTCCAGCCGTGTTATCTTCGAACGAGTGGTCGTTTTTGTGCAACTAAGGTTTGTTTGTCACATGCATTGAATCGAACTTTGTCACAAGTAGTTCATTAATGTGCTGGGTTATATCAATGACCTCACGACATGAACATTTGGGAATGCTGATCCTCTGAGAATCTGGGCCAGTGGTATGTGACATACATATTCTGGTATTCCTCCTTGTGAAGTAAGCCAACCACTCGAGAGAACTGAAAGTACTTCCTCGGTTTTGGGAGACTTTCCTCGATTGGATATTGTTATTTCGTGCCTCCAAAATCGCCCCGCGATGGAAGTGTGGAGAAGTGATGTACCACAAATGCTTGGTACTTATCGGTAACCCGGTCAATGAATCAGGCTCATGAAATCAGCCTCGATTTGACTGCACCTTCATTTAATGCAGTTTAGACGACTGGAACGAAAACTAAGACAGACGAACTGGCATGTGGCAACCATGCTGCACGAGCGGACATGGAAGCAACGACATATCTGGAAGATGTACGTTAGTGTTCAGAAGTCACATTGGCTTTTTATAGTTCCGTCAAAGAACCCATCGGTGCCAGATCGCCTCATGTGAATTGCACGGTTGATTATTGAACTGCATTCTATCCTTTTTGGATACAACTTTCTGATTGTTTCCAGCGACCCTTAGCTTGATGATGGTATTTATACTCATGCATAAGTTGCGGATCCTATTCTTATTGGTTATTCGTGAAATGGGTATGCACCCGGTTCTCTGACACCTGGGTACGTGAAATGTGGCAAAAATACACGTCGGCACGTGCGTGCTTGTGTTTCAGTGTGGGGCTGGCCTATTTAGATGAGGGTACAGTGCGATTGGGTAGATAGGCTGTCATGTAAGACTGGTGATGTTAACGAGTCGCGATAGGTGCTCGCTAGGTAAGCAGGTAAGTTGATTCCTTGAGAAAATCACCCGCATATAAGGTCTGAATAATTAGCTCTACTTGTTGGATTCGTGGCAGACGACCGACATCGAAGTATCTTTCCAGTCAACCGTTGCCCGCTTTTCTGTTGGACGGTACGGATGGCTTATGCAGTTCTGCTTTCATTATTAATCAACATTGGTATTTATCGAGTCGTTTGGCACTAACATATTTGTAAGGCACGCAACATCTCAAGTAGCCCTCACCAAGGCATGAGTTACTTTCTTGGTCCGAAGTACGCGCCAGATCGTGGATCCCGTGTTTCACCCCACTGCCTTGAAGGGTGAGCCTGGTGCATAAAAAGTGTGAAGAACTTGGCGGAAAAGCGTTCGTCGATTTTCACATAGCAGACTAAAAATGACAAGAAGCAGTATGGGAGTTGTATAGGCGCACTGGGACACGTTTTTTCTAAAACCAAGCTTCCTATGCCTTGGGGGACATCTTTTCATCCGTTTGGTATTCGTGGCGTGAATGTTACTCGGGAAACCTTGGAAATTCTTCCGTACGAAAAAAGCCCGACCAACTGAGTTCAGTAGAGCAATTTACACTCGAAGGTGTTGGATTAATTTGCACACTTCGTGTTTGCTTCCCTGTGATACTAGTAGTAATAGTTGAAGCTGTTGGAAAATAATGATTTGAGGAACTCTTGAGTGAAGGGTGTTTTTTAGAAAATTCCCTGGTTTAGACGTGACGATGGCTTTAAGTATCCTCTTAAATGTGACGAAAAGTTGGATGGGGCAGTTGCCCCTCTAATCAGGAACCCGGAAAGAAGCGATTTTATTTACTTCCTTCATAAGAGAAGCACACTTTATGGCTATAGTCCTCGTCCAGCAAGGACCAGGTTACATTCTTAAAATAATGTTGACCCGAGATCACAAGTGGCTGAGTTGTCGTAGGATGACCCTTTTTGGTTAGTATTTCCAGATTCCCGTTGTGATTAATGTAGCCTGAGTTCCCAACACGGTATCCTATCTTTTATACTGTCGGCTTTTCACCGGGGTCTGTGTTGTCCATATCAAGAGAGTGGGGCCGCAGACAAATCAAATTTTTGCGGTAGTGTAGCATTAGGACTGTTTTTTCGTTTTAGAACCTTAGATAAGATTGGCATGGTTGTCGGTGGTTTAGGGGTTTGTAAAATCTGTGTTCGCACCACTCCTGGTTGGATTTGTTTGACAAGATGGGTATCAGTGATTTCATACGGATGCTGCCGAAGATGATGGTCATGTTGCGGTTGTTGTAAAGGTGTTTTGGACGTCGGGAACATCAAGCATCAAATCATCGGGTAACGTTTCCCTATTGGGCTTCCACCTCGCTAACAACTACTAAGCACTTCAGTTGCAAATGTTATCTTTTTGCTTCTTACCGAATTTTCTTTTGTTTGCGCATTTCAGCGATCATCTAGTTACTGGCGTGTCTCCGTTCGCTTGTAATCTGTATCGCATACAATGGGTGATCGTTACAATATACACACTCAGCTTGAACATTTGCAGTCCAAGTATGTGGGTGAGTTTTTAATCTACCGTTTTCCCATGTTCACAATTTAGGAACGGGACACGCAGATACAATACGTTGGGAATGGCTAACTAATCAACATCGTGATAGTTGTGCATCTTATTTGGGGCATTTCGACCTCCTCAATTTGTTCGCCATATGTGAGAATGAATGCAAAGCAAGAGTGAGGTTTAACATAATGGAACGAATGCTGCAGCCCTGCGGTCCTCCGCCTGAGAGACCGGAAACCTAAACAGTGGAAGTTTTTAAAAAATAATTTTCGCACAATAAATGTACGAACTTAATAATGCCTTTTCTGATCTTCGTTTCGGTGCGTCGTCTTTTGCCGTCTGCAACTGAGACGTTTCAAATTTAGTTCTTTTTTCTCTCCCGGTATCACGTACGTTCGAGATATCTCGGTGGTTAACGCGCGATCTTAGTGACTGGAAGGTTGGTGTTCGAACGGAACTTCGGTATCTCGACTGCCCCTGTCTGGGCTCCGTTGATCTGGCAGTATGGCAGCCCTCATGCTGTTCTCGGGTGGCAGGTCTGCTGCGAACCGAAAGGTTGCTAAAGCTGAGCGTTTGTTGTCATTTATATATTTTTGTTAGATCAGTAAAAATTGCTTTTGTATCCCAAACAGAAAAACGACATCTCCAGATCATTCGCGTCTTGAATGCTGTGTTTGGCGAGCAGAATAAATTTACGAAAATTCTGGGTCAGGGAGGACTATACACTTGTAGCTAATCCCTTGACCACATACTTATCGAGAGTGGGATGTCATTGAAAAAATGACCCGTGGAAGGATAGTTGGACGTTGCTGCATTCGGTAAACCCCAGTCCTAGTTGGGAAGCTACGCATTCAGGGTAATGGTAACTGCACAAACTGACGCGAAATGTTGGGATTGATCACTTAACAACGCTGTGAACGAATCTTTCGAAATTAACTCTAGATTGGATGAATGTAATGTAAACGGCTTGCTAATGGAGGTGAGGTCGAGGTTGTGTTTAGGAATGGGAAGGACATAAGGGTTCCACCAGAATGCGTAGGAAACGCCAGTAGATGGAAACAGTTGGAGAGAATCTGGAGGCTACGATTGCATAATATAGGAGGCTTGCCATATGAGCCTGATGGTTCGGAAATTTCGGGTATAATAAGTGAGAGTCCCTCTCAATAATATAGTAAAGGGAAATGGTTCAGTTTAGCCAGGCACTCCGGTATAGAGGCTGGAGAAGACGAGAGGAATCAGATGTAGAAATTTGGGCAAGGATTCCTGGTTTAAGGATTAGGGTTTTAGAAATTTCGGAAAGCGTCACATATAGACAGGAAGTCAAGGAACAGAAGTTGCGCTCGACCACTGTGGTAGAAACTCTAATGATTGACTTCAGACCGATGCCGACGATAGTTGGATGGCCTTTCTTGCGTCCAACTTCCATTTGACCTTGCCAGTCACAGAAGAGCTAGTACTACTTACTTCACAGTGATCAGTAACCGAGGCCTGGCGGTGGCCGTTCGGTTCGCCTTTCTGTAGCAGGCGCAAACACACGCAAAACACGAATAAAACACTATGAAGATGGTACATTTCTTGGTTAAAAGAGGAGACGGGCTCTTCTAATCAGCAATAGTATGAAAACTGAACGAACTAGATGATAACTACTTAAGTTTGGACGCATGCCTTCTCAGTCGGCGGAATAGTCTTGCTAGAATGCATGAAGATAGGATCGACCAGGTTCCCATGTAACAGATTGACAAGCTAACCGTCTGAAGAATCATCGGACAGTAAATTTGCATCGCAATCATACGGGTTAGGGATTAAATGTAATCCAAGATTTAGGCAGAGCCGTCTTAGTGAAGGAGTGAGGATGGTGGAAGATAGTTCGGGGTCATGGTCTATAGGAGCTGTATAAAACGCTGGAGTTACCGAGAATGTTAAAGTATTCAGCATATGTGAATTTCGTTGACTCAAAGTCGTTCCGTTTTCCACAAAAAAGGTTAAGTTGTAACCCGTTTATCCACAGTCAATCCTTAAATCGAATTCACTTTCGGTTGTACTAGAGACCGTTGTTTTCAATTATAAGGAAAATGTGATTAGTCGCAGTTGATGTCATTTACTTCCATCAACTCATCACTTATATGTGGACTACGCTGTTGAAATGAACCGAACTTCCGTCTTGTGCTTTCATATGACGAATACACTAATGCACTGAAGAGGGAGCATTGTGAGAAAGGGATCATTTGACCTTTCTGTAGGTGGTCTTACTGGTTGAATAACCCACCTGTGAACCCTTTGACGAAACTTCTGTCTCCGGTCGGAACTCCTGAGGAAACGCACTGTGTGTTGCTGCTCGGCTTTGTTTGTATGCGGGTATTCTATCCCACCCACTAAGTACCATTCGGGTTCATTCAATCGAGGACTGTGGAGAGAGAAGTATTTTAGGGATAACCTATAAGATAAGTAAGCTTCTTCCGCCTGTCGGCTCACGCATTGTTCTCAAATAAATCTGGAGGCAAATTAGGACAGCTCTTTAAAACAAGATGTAATTAGGCAAGACCCACAAATAACGTGAACACTGGCTATTCAACTCATCGGGTAACCAACAAGTTTATCTCGCAGCAACAAGCATAACGACTGGTGTCGACTGATCAAATACGATACGAGTTGAACTAGCTTAGAGAAATTCCAAGTCCGTTGCTTGGTAGCTATCAGGTCCTCACTATATGGATCGTGAAGTCCGGGACCATTCTCACTGTTAACGACCAGTCAGTGGATTCCAACAGATTCCAATTACGGCAGTGAAGCATCGGTGTTGAACACTGTCATGCTGTCGATGATGATGAACAGATTTTACTAGTTTTCGCCTCATGTGCTAAGTCAATCGAAAACAACTCGAATCATACTAATATTATCAAAGAGCGCTTGCTGGTTCGTACTAGGCATTCGTCGATTAACACAATGTGTTTGTTGTTTTTAACTGTTTGATACTGAACCAACACTTGCGTCAAAGAGATTGGCAGAGAGAGGAAGAAGCCGCCTCCTCAGTAGAGATCGACACAATTCTTTTTCCACGATAACTTTTGAGGGGATTGCTGTATACGAACCTTCAGAACTAAGAACATTATGCGGTTTGGGTCTTGAGCTTCAACCATATATGCCCTTCACAAAGGTTAATTTGAAACAAACAGCGTCAAGTTCTTGCACCTCAGTTTCGGTCCCCTGAAATAAATAATGAAATGAAATACATAAAAAACGCAAAAATAAGTGAATATGAATGAATGAATAAATGAATGAATAAACTCAATAAATGAATAATCGCTAGGAATAATTGCTGGGAAGAGCCTTGATGCGACCATTCGACGATATCCGCCAGAGACCAAGTGAATCAGCTTGAAGCGTGATTATTACTGGTGCCGTGGTCCATTTTCACAGTTTGTTAGATTATGGCGTTATCAACGCCCCAGTAAACTGTTCAAGAGTTGAGATTAATGGTCGGGAAATTAGGTTGACAAGTTCACCACTTAGTGGCGCAGCGTCTATTCAGGGGTTTCGCATCATTGATTGATTGGTTTTAACTGATTTTTTTGCCATGGTTCGGTGACCCGTCCCGGATTCTTAGGTCAACTCAGACGATGAGCCGTCGCTCACAAAACGGGATGTTAAACCCGATATTTTTATCTGCACAGGTTACGCGTGTGCATGATGGTCACCGTGGATAAGTCTTCCTCGTCAGATTCCGTCCGAATATGTGGGCGCGTGGGACCCTCTAATACGTTCACATCTGTAGAAATTGGTATCTTTAATCAGTCGAGTTTCTTAAGAGCTTCCTCCTGGCGGTTTATTCAAACCGTTCCTCAACACTGTGCCAGGGGTCTAGATATCCAGCACTTCAAAGTGTCCCTACTTTCTTCAAAACACTCTTGCCCTCTGTCCTCGTCTGACTCGTGGAGCTGCACGGCTGAATTAGACTGACTCATGATTTACAGTTGTTTATATGCAAATTTGCATACGTGTCCCCACAGAGCAGTCCCTTTTGGTTTTGGTTGTCGGTTCCCACTGTGTCTGAATATGAGGAGTAAAAAAGTGTCTAGTTCGCAGATGCGTGGTACCTTGAAAAAAGTTGAACGGACTGTAAACGTCATAATAAGTAGCGACAAAGGCCATTGGTTTTTCACGAAAAACTCTGCAAAATAAAATCTGATAAGAAAAATGAGCTTGGATGACCAGAGGTCTCAGGTTAGAGTTGTTAAGAAATTGGATCCTGTGAGTTGAGCGTTATTCAACTAGTGTAGGAGGTTCGTGAAACAGCAGCGACACGGAATAGGGGTCTCATCGTGCTACTGACTTGTACCTGCACTGGCTCTCTCGTTAGCCATTCAGCACAAAATGATTCCACTTGTACGATGGAATGACGACTGAAAACTCAAAATCTCGATATCAAGGTAGTAAGCGTGGGCAGTACGTGCAGGAATGCTATACTCTCTACGGCTACATTGGACACACCGTGCCTGAAATAATCGAATAATTCTTTTGCCTCTTGGGAAGAAGTGCAAAGTCCGAAGGTCCATAAACGAGGCATATTTTTGTTTCACATTTCAGGTATGATAACGGACTGTTCGAGGATAACGTTCCCAATATCTTTTCCTTGGACTTCAGATAGCGCGATGAAATTCACTCAAGTTTGGTGACGTTTCTGTGGGACTAAAAATGAATGGCCAGAGGTCAATAAAGGCTTGTTTATATGAAAACGAAGACCTGCTGTGTTTAAATGTTGTCCCCACCTGACTAGCCACAGCGGTCGTTATTTTTGTGCCTTGATGTTATCTGGGTGACTTGTTTCAAATGGTATTCCGCCGTTCACATAGTGTCTTGTGCCTAATTTGTGGATTAGGGCTGAACTAAGTGCGGTGAAGGCTGTGGAGGCTGATTGGAGCTGTTCGTACTACTGGCTAGCTGTTCGACTGATGAAGCTGGCTCTAAAAGGAGAGACAGGATAATACATGCATATCGAGATGGTTTAACGAGGAAGTTTACCCTATAGTTCCTGCCCGATTAATGAACAGTTTGTAATGTAGATAAAACGGGCTATGAAGATAGTAAAGATACGTGGTGAGCTGTTGTACTTCTTACGAAGCTGTCGAGAAATTCACGACACTGGCGCTTACAGTTGATAGGGAAGACCTACTACGGGGTGTTTTTCTCAACAAAATATTTCTCTTTTATAGTCAGGTCCCAGAATTCAAACTGAAATGCATAA